GGGGGGGGGGGAGACAGAGATGAACAGAGTCTTCACGTGGTTGTGAGGAGGGAGGTCCAGGCCACCAAATCCTGACCAGCTGTGGGATGGGGGACAGAGGACCTGGGGGGCTAGGCAGGTGAGGGACCAGGGTTCTCCCAGCACTTGCACCAGCCTTTAGGTTTGGAGAGGCTAGCAATGGCCACTTGACCTGTTAGTGCTGGCCTGGAGGCAGTAGGACCCCTTGGGAGCCTGCCAGGGAAGGGCCAGTTCAGGTCCCCAAGGCCATGCTCAGCCAAGTCCCTGTGTGCCCAGCCCTGAAGAGTGCCCCCAACATACACCTACACTGGGAGATCCAGGTGCTCCAAGGGGTCTTGGTGACTCCACCCAGCAGGTACAGGAGCCCCAAATCTTCTGGAAGTCTCCTGGCTTTATGCTAACAGTGCTGGGACCTATCACTGTCAGAAGGCCTGCACCTTGGGGTCCACAGCAAAATCTGCCATCCCCTGGGACAGGCTAGCCCCTCCTGATTCCATTATCACCAAGCCCAGGATTGATGATCCACAGGAAGCAGGCCTGGGGGTGCCCAGGCAAGTCCCACACTGCTCAGACACAAACACTTCAAATTGAAACCAGGCTCCAACCATGCTTGCCCAAGATGGCTTTATTCAGTTGTCCATCACCCACAGCAGCCTTCCTGCAGCCCCTCCACCCAAACCTGAGGGACGACAGGACTCATGGCCCAGGGCCCTCAGAGGGGCCAGTACTCCTGCCCTCCTTGGGAGGGGCCTTCCTTCCCAGGTGACATGGGCCTATACAGGGCAGGGCACACCACTCTTAGGCAGCCTTCATGGTTCTCAGGATTTGTGCTTCAACTTGACTTGGAAGGATGTGGTCAGTTTGCACCAGCATCCTTGGAAGATCAAGCTGGCAAAAACCCACCACAGCTCTGAGGGGCTCCCATGTCACCCCTCACCCCTGACCTTCATGCCCACAGTCACAGGTTGCTAGTCAGGGCAGAGTGGGCACAAGGTGGCAGCCCTCTCCCAAAGCACTAGGGCTGCAGAGGATGGGTGAAATAATAGTATTCTGATGATCTCTACCCCCAATGCTCCCTGGAGGCCACTATTCTGGGTGTGGCACTTGGAAATGCTTGGCCATGAAATGCACCTCTGGATGGAACACACAGGAGCCTGGGCCCCAGTGGCAGCTCCAGCCAGGCCACATGAGAACCCATGGCCCAGAATACTAGGTGTTAACTGTACCTGTTATACAAGGGGAAACTGAGGCACATAGGTCAGCCCTACTGTGCTCCAGGCTGTGAGCAGTCCTCCTTAGTTGCTGGTGGCTGACCCTTAGGCAGGGCCTGCCAGGCCACAAAGAGGTTTTCAGATGTGAAGTCCAGATTTCGCATCCACATGCAGCAAGCACAAAAGGTAAAGCAGTTACAGGACGTCCAGCCTAGTTTGTACCACCGATTTATTGAAGGAAAATGTCTGGGTTGTGCCGCTTTCTTTCAGACACGCTCCGAGTGTCACGGCTTTGCCCAGCAGGGTGGGCACTCGGGGAACCACCCTGCAAAGCCCTTCCAGGAGGGCTGAGAGGGTGGCCCAGAGGATTGTCCCTCACACTCAAGCTCGGGAGGCAAGATTGTTTCAAGAACCTTTCTCTGAGAAGCTCAGGACGTTGACAATGAGTCCTGAGGCCCAGCTGCATCCAGGAGCCATGACCCAGAGAGGCAGCCCCCTGCAGGCAGGGCCCAGGAGCGACCAGCACTTCCAGAAGCCTGGCCCTTCAAAGGAGAGCAAACGTGGGGGCTAACCGGGCAGGGGACCATCCTCCAGCCATGATCCCCAGGTGTTCAAGTGGCCTGCGGGAGTGGAAATACCTGGGGAGGAGGTGCCACCTTCCCCCCCAGCCTGGTCCCATCAAGGCAAGGACTGAGTCTGTAGGTGCCCCACACAGGCAGGGCTCGGGCAGGGTCTCTGGAAAGATAGAGAGGGCCAGGCCACCCTAGGTTCCTCCAGGGAGACAGGTGCTCTCCCAGCACAGCCGACACCCAGCGTGTAACAGGTCCCAAGGACTCTTGGACAGTCTCTCTCCCTGTGGTCACTACCCAAGCGCATGCTGTGGCCTGGGGTCCACCTACACCTGCTCTACACATGCTCCATTTCCTGGTCTTGGTCAGGCTCCTCCTCCTCCTCCTCTTCATCCTCTACCTCCTCTTCCAAGCCTGGCTTGTCCAGCGGCGCTTCACCATCCCGGGCCAGCTCCTCCACGTGGGCCAGCATGTCAGCCATCAGTGCCTCTTCCAGCCGCTTGCGGACCTGCTGCACCAGCTCCTCCTGCTTCCTGGGGACACATGGAGCGCTGGCAAGGCACTTCCCTGTCTCCAGGACGACCAGAGTGCGAGGCCAGGAGAAACCAGGAGGATAGGATGCACAGACATACATGGGCCAGTGATTTTGGGGGCCTGAGGGTCCTCCAGCCCTGGATGGTGGCTCACACTCCCTTCTTGAGCAAGTAGCTCTGACTCAGCCTTCTAGATGGTACACTCCACCTCCTGAGGGACCTGAGCCTCAGGGGCTCCGAGTGCTCAGACACTCTACTCCTGTTCCACTGCCCTCCTCATTCCCTCTTGCCACCAGTTTCTCTCCCCACCACCTGGCAGGCACTACCCCAATCAGTTCTGGTCTGCCTCGTGTCACTCCCCCTCCCAGAAATGGGTGGTCACCTGTCTGCTTGGCTCTTCTGGTCTAGTGCACATGTAAGCTCTTTTGCTATCACCTGAGTGGGGTTTGCAAAGAAAAAAAAGACCACTGAATGTCCAGTCTACTGCCCAGCCAGAGTGTCACTTGTCTTGTGGATGACAAGGTTTGCAGGTAGAGAACTCTAGGAGGGGAATGACTTTCTGACTTTTGGCTTGTTACCGTGGCAAAGAAAGTGGCTGTAGCCTGGTCTGCTTGCCCATCTGCCTCCTCTGTGGCTTTTAAGATCCTCCCCCACCTCCAGTTCCACATCTTCACTGTAATGTGAATCCAATGTTAGTGTCTGTTGCCAAGTCTGGTAAATGTTGGCGCTGTCCCTGTCCTGTGTGTGTGGGAGGGGGGCGTCCTTTCTCTCCTTACCACTACTCTCTTCTGTGTATAGCTGGCTACTCAACTCTTCTCCAGACAAGACCAAATCTACTGCCTAACCTGTGACCTGAATTTTTCATTTGAGTGACTTCTAATTGTAGTTCTGCTTAGCTTTAAAAATCCTTGTCTTTTTGGAGTTGTGTTCTTTTCTTATACTTTCAATTCCCTCTCCTGCCCTTTCCCTTGGACAGACTCTCTGGTATGGGGG